TTTTGATTCAATTTAGTGGCCGTGTAGGGATGCTGGGCCGTCGAACGTTCTCTGATCTGTTTGTACATGTCTGCGTCGCCGTGTCTCTTACGGGCGGGGCTCGACGCGTCTAGCGGGGGTCTTGCGTATAAGAGACGACACTAGCACGCCCACAAGCCTCAAGCCTTCATCATCTACGCAGGCTCGAAATTTTAAACTATTATGCTATCTAATAGCGTTGAAGGAGATCTCTTCAGAATTAGCGCAGGTCTCCACAATATGATGCGTTGGCACGTGGGGGGCTCAGCGACATGCGTCACGGCGCGACATTATGACCCACTGTCATTCATTTCGGCGCTTCCGATCCGTCGCTGTCTAGGCATCACGACAACGGTGAAGGGGCATCAACCCGGCGCCTCGCGGAGCTCGCCCTCAACCAGGTAACGTTTTCGCCATGAAGAACACGCACACACACACACACACACACACACACACACACACACACACACACACACACACACACACACACACACACACACACACACACTCACATACATCCCAATTGCGTGCAGTTGAGAATTCGGGATCCAGCGTTTCAGCCGTCATCTGTGCTGGACTTTGGCGCTGGAACAGGCACATCAACATGGTGAGAGCACCTGTTTTGTGCACCTGAGGTGCCATGCTCGTTTCAGCGCTGTTGGTGGCAGCATCAGTTGACCTTCTTCTGCGCTTTACCCTGGCATGGTGGCTGCACATGCTCCTGCACCTGATTGCACCACATTAACACTCTCCTCCCCTCCACACCTACCCCTCCCCCTCCTGCACACTCAGGGCACTGCATGACACATGGAAGTCGAGCGTTGACTCCATCACATGCGTGGATACGTCCTTGGCCATGCTGAACCTCTCCCAACACATGCTGGAGGGTACGTAGCGACGCTGAGCGACGCTTAGCGATGACCACACACACATCAGCACATGTGCGCCGTCTTCACTCACACACACACACATGCACTTTCATGCGGGCTGAGCTTCACGTAAATAACCTTCGCGTTCTCCCTCTCCCTCTCCCATTGTCCATGTACCTGCACGTGTTGCTGTGTTTGCTTGCGCTGCTTCCAGGTATTGATTACGATCGCCACAGTCGATTCCAACAGTTTCTCTCCCCCAAGGTAACTCAAATGTGTGCGCGTGTGTAAGTATGTGCAGTTGCATTGTGTTTGTGCGTGTGTATGTTTGTGTGTGTGTGTGTGTTTGTGTTTGTGTTTGTGTGTGTGTGTGTTTGTGTGTGAGAGAGAGTGTGTATGTATGTGTGTGTGTGTGTGTGTGGTCGGCTTTGTGTTGTCATTTCCTCTTCAAGCGCTAGTAGTACGCCACTACTGAAGCTCTTGCTCCTCTCCCCACAATACACACATGCTGCGCTTCATTGCACACTCCAGGGTGAGCACGACCTTGTGCTTGCCAGCCATACACTGAGCGAGCTGCCATCTGGTGACGCCCGCCGAGCAGCCCTCACATCCCTCTGGAACAAGACAACCTCATACCTCGTACGTTGCGTGTGTGTGTGTGTGTGTGCACGTGTGTGTGCGCGTGTTTTCGTGCATGCGCTTCCAACCGTTGTCCATTCGTTCATGTCCTGCGGGCTGTGAGTCAGGTCATGTTCAACGCACTTCCACACTCACACTCTCACTCACACACACTCTCTCACTCACACTCTCACACACACACACTCACTCACACTCACTCACTCACCCACTCACATACACACACACATACACACACACACGCACTCACCCACACATACACACACGCACTCACCCACGCTCACACACATACAACAGGTGCTGGTGGAGAATGGGAGTGCGTGGGGGCACATGTGCATGCTTGAAGCTCGCCAGCACATTGCCGCGCTTGCGCTGCACGACAACCAAGCGCACCTGGAGGCAATACACAGCAGTGACGATGAGGACACTGCGGGCCCTTCCGCTCATGATGGCCCTGGCTCTGACGCTGCAGCAACGGCGGCCGCGACACGAGAAGAAGAAGAAGAAGAAGAAGGCCATCAGCGCCACCACGATGGCGATGGTGATGGCCAAGAGCAGGGGGTGGCGTTTGCTTCCACTGCTGCTGCGGCAAGTACTGCACCGTACACAATGCAGCTGGTGGCCCCGTGCCCGCACATGTACCAGTGTCCCATGACGCAGACGTCCCACCCGTGCCACTTCCCCGTCTCCGTCGTCTGGCCTCCTTCCCTGGTGCGTATCACTGTTCATGTGTGTATGTGTGTGCATGTGCGTGTAAGTGCATGTGTGGTTTGGGGACGAGGGCCGATGGCTGCATGCCGTTGTGTTGTGACCGTGAATGATGCCTTGTTTTCCACACACACACACACACACACTAACGTGTGCGCACATATCGCACACACACACACTAACGTGCGCGCACACACATATCACATATCACACGCATCACGCGCGCGCACACATCACACACACACACTCTTACGCACACGAAACAACAACAGATGTTCCACCGCAGCCTGCGTCGCCGGCAAGTGCGCAGAAGCAAGTTTTCGTACTTAATCTTGAAGAAGACAACATACTCCGCGGACCAGTGGCAGCAGTACCGGACCCATATCAAAACCTGTGGTGAAACCTTTGCCGCAGAGCAAGACAAAGAGCAGCGCGAACGCAAACGCCAGCGTCAGCAAGCGTCAGCAGCAGCAGCAGGAGAAGAGGAAGCTTCAGCAGACAACCACCCACAACCACAAGGACAACACCACCACCACCACCGCGGTGCAGACAACACGCTGGCTGCGATGGCCGCATATGCCGGCACGGTGGCGTCGGGCGCGCTCGGGGCCGCACACACCATCGACAGCCGCACACCAGCAGCAGTGGCAGCAGCAGAAGCAAAGGAAAAGGATGATGATGAGGAGGAGGAAGACGAGGAAGATGATGATGAGGAGGAGAAAGAAGAAGATGAGCAAAAGGAAGAGGAAGAAGAGGAGCAAGACGCCGCCAGCGACAGCACATCGTCGACAACACACAATCGCCAAGTTGACGCCGAAGGCGATTGCCCAACGCCAACAGCAGTCGATCAACAGCTTCATCGTGTCGTGGCCAGTGTGTCCCGCAAGAAAGGATTGGTCACTGCCAGGACCTGCTCCTTCAGCGGTGGGTATCGGTGGTTGCTTGCTCATGTCGCACGGAGCTCTTTGTTTTTGGTTCGTTCGTTTTGTGACTTGGAGCGGCGTGTTGGCGTGTTGGCGTGTTGTTGTGTGTTGTGTGTGTGCGTTGCTGGTGCGGCAAACGCAACACACCGCAACACAACGCAACGCGATACGACGCACAAAACGCGTCACGACGCACAAAACGCGTCACACACGCGAACAACGCCACACCAAACATGACCACGCCACACAAAACGCTAACGGCGGCACACACGCGAAACGTGCAAACATGCACGTTCCATCAGAGCGGGCCTTGCCAGGGACCTCATTTTGGCCCGCTCTATTTCTTTGTGCAACTGTGTCCACTCTCGTTTTGGTCATGCTGGGACAGTCTTGCACGGCGTGGAGAGTCTTTCCCGTGGCGCTCACCCAGTTTTATTTTGCGATTTGGTTGTTTTGTTTCGCCACCCCAGGGAAAATTCGCGATGTCACCTTCAGTAAGCGGCGGGTCAACGACGACTTGAAGTGGCGGGCCGCAAAGAAGATGGCATGGGGCGATCTTGTTGCGGCGAATAGATAGTTTGCAATGTGGCTTTTCATTTTTCCCATGTCTGGTCAACCTACATAGGATGCGTTGACCAACCCACAAAGCTTCGCCTCTCGCGTGTTGTGTGTCGCTCCGTCGCAGCAGCAGCGTGCTCTCTTTGTTGGTGTTTTGGCGCAGTCAGGGCCACATAGTGGTCATGCTTGCTGCAGCGTGCTTGCTTCAACAGCAGTAAACCCACCCACAAAACAACGTGCGCTTCGGTTGTGCGGGGCGTGGTCGCCCTGCTTTTGCCGTGCCCAGTGTGTGTGTGTGTGCCTTTGCTTGGTGGGACCACGTTGTGCTCTGCGGCATGCATTTTCCCTGACCCTCCACCCATACCTCCGCTCCTCTCTCCCCCCCCCCTCTGTCTTTGTTCTTGCCACGTTCTGTTTCACGTGTTACATTACCCTTTGCTCTGCCCGCCGTCCCTCCGTGGGTCGATCTCTTTGTTCTTCTTCCATCGTCGAGTCGTAGCTGTGCTCTGCTTTGGAGCTAGTGGTGGTGTTGTTGTTTGCCCCCCCCCCCCAAAAAGCTCTCACCATTTCATGCTTGCTGAGTCGCAGACGCAGACACAGCCCATTTTCCATTTGTCACGCCTGCCTTCCAAGCCAAGCCCTCCCTTGTTCTTTGCTTTGCTCGTCTCGTCGATCACTCCAATATCCTCCCTCTTCCAGTTCTTCCTTTCCCTGATCCCTCCCTTGTCGCCCTTGTCGCCCTTGTCGCCCAGTCCAGCAACCCTGCAATCACGCCAGCCACGCCTACAGCGAGCGATTGTGATTTTGTGCGCCGCAAACACATCCACTACTGCCCCCACCACTATCACCTTCCTCTCCGCCTCTTCCACCGCCCACGCCGCACACGCGTTCCTCTTCCACGCAAGAAGGGGTCACCACCTTGACGTCGCTCCGTCCCACCACCACTACCACCACGCACGCAGTGTACCAAAGATAGTCATCGTCCACGACCATGCCGCGCACCCCTCGCCGCAAATACAGTCAGTGTGTGTGCGCGCGTGCGTGTGTGTGTGTGTGTTGTGTATCTGCGTATGTGTGTATCTGCATGTGTCTGCTGCGTATGTGTGTTGCGTGTGCGTGCGTGTGTTGTGTGTGCATGTGTGTGTGTGTGTCTCTCTCTCTCTCTATGTGGTTGTACATGATCTTCTTGTCGGTCGTTATCTGTGCGAAACTGTCTCTGCTGTCATGATGCTCTTGACTCTCCAAGCTATCCTTTCAAACATTCTTCCTCCCCCCTTCCCATCCTCCACACGCTCGTACTCACTCACAAACAACACCCACTCCGCTCCCACTCACTCCATGCAGCGTTCACGGATTCCGCCCACTCGGTGGACCGCTGTAAACAACTCGGCGTCGGCATTCTCAAAAAGGGCAAGACGGCTGTGCGCGAAATTGCAAAGACGCACGGCAAGAGCGTCCTCCGCCATCGCTCGCAGGCCCTCGATACCATGAGCAAGCAGCGGCGCCGCAAGTGCGACAGGCTCATTGCCAAGGCGTACACCACCCGCAACGATGAGGTCGAAAGTGCTCTCGCCCTCGAAGAACTCCACGCGTTCTGCTTCCAAGTTCCAGAGGGCTGGGAAACCATGACCCGCAAGTACAAGTTTAAGACCCGCACCCAACAAGATCGCGCCTTTTACCTCCGCCTTCAAGCTGTCGCCATCATCCTCTACAAGCGATTTGGAGGTGCGTATGTGTGTGTGTGTGTGTATGTGTGTGCATATTTGCTTGCTTGAGTATGTTCGTCTTTGCTTGTCTCTGCTTGTTCTTGTTGTTTGAGTATGGCCGTCCCTGCTTGTGTATGTTTGTTGTTGTTGTTTGAGAACATGAGTGTATGTTATTATTGCCTGCTTCCTGATGCTTGCTGGTGTATGTTTCCTTTACATGTGACACGAGGCCTGATCAACTCGGATACTCTTTGCTCCTTTTTCGTTTTTCTTGTCTTTACTGATTCTGGTACTGTGTCCTATCGCGACCTCATCATGTCAAACCACTCCTCGCTTCACTGCTTCACTCCAACTGCGTTCGGTCTTCCTCCTTTCCGTAACAACAGGCTGCTACAAGACACTGGTTGAGAGCTCAAAGACCATGCTCCGCGACTACGACTACAGCAAGAACCCAAGAAAGCGTAAGAGCTACCACCTCCTCCTCACATGCGTGTTGACCCAAGTTGTTTGGCATGGGCGCCACAACGGCGGCAGCTTTCATGTGTCAAACATCCAAACATCTAAACACATCCAACTATCCATACACACCCGGATGTTTAAACATGGACACGTCCGGAATGCGCACACGTACACATACCATGATCATCCGTGCACTGAAAACGAAACGTTGACGAAACTAAATCCTCAATCTAACGCCAACAACACCACCCCACGAACATGCAACAACAACACCTCCGCCTCTTGTAGGAAAAGGTTCCCGCCGCACCTCGCGCTATCCCGCGCGCAGGGGAAGGAGCACTCGCCGCTCCGCACGAGACGAACAACAGCACAAGGAAGAGCAGGAGGAGCTTGAGGAGCACATGCAGATGGATGAAGATGAGGAGAACGGTGTCCCCGACAACAACAGCGGGACTGCAGCTGTTCCTGACAACGCTTCTCATCGCATTTCCAGCGGCCTCGAGCACGGCCGCGCCTCAGACGCGGGACATGACAGCGACGCAGAGTCGGTGTTCACCTTCCAGCCCATCTCCTCCGCCCCGCCATCGCCTTCCATGGCCGGCCACTCGGACGCGGAATCCGCTGCCTCAACACCGCGCCGTCGCCAGTCCCGGCGCAGCAGCCACACACGCAGCACTGCATCGGCTGCAGACATTGCCGGTGACCCGCTGATGCCTGTGCCCATGAACCCAATCAGCGCCACCACGCACACCATGTTGCATGCAAGCACGTCGCCGGTAGATGCGCACATGTACATGGACGGCAGTGACACCGACAGCCTCCTCCTCCTCTCTGAGCCAAGCTCCCCCGAGTTTGCTTCCGCGTCGGACTCCGAAGCCCCACCCGCATTCCGCGCTCCTCCAGAGCCTTCCCCAATCTGTTTGATGCAGCTCAACGACATTGTCGAGCACATCCAGGCTTGCCAACGTACGTACCAAACAGCACCAATCAAACAACAAGGACACACAGAGGCGCTTGCGCCCCCCCCGTGCATGCAAGCACACACACACACATACACACACGCACATACACACACATACACACACATACACACACACACGCACACACACACACACACACGCGCACACACGCACACACACGCACACACACACACACACAAGCTGGCTGTCTCTCTCTCTCTCTCTTGTTTGTCCGCTTCTTCACTTCACACCAACCAACGCACGTTCACGTCTTCTCGTGTCCTGCTCTCACAAACTCCCCACCAATGCCCTGCACTTCGCCCTCTCCGACAGTGACGCTCGCCTACACCAAGATTGCCTTGTATTGGGACATGAACGAGGACCTGACCCTGCTTGATATTTACTTGCAGCTCTTGTCCCTCTGCCCCGAGCTGCACGCCACCTTCGAGGCAGTCGCTGCCGACAACGCTGTTGCATCATCAAACGCAAAGGGAGCACCCATGCCCTACGCGCTAGTTCTCGCGCCGTGTGACGCCCAGCCAACGCCCCTCGCCCACGAGCAGGCCGCTCGCATTGCTTCCACCGGCATTCCCATCCACTGGTGAATGGTGGACATTTATTCAGTCGTGTCTGCCTCGTCAGCAGGCACCAGCAGTTATTCTTTCCTTCATCGTGCCTTTCCAGATCATCGTCGTCATCATCGTCATCATCGTCATCATCGGATCAGCCTCCGCTTTTCGGTCTCGCACTCGGGCGCTCAGCCACGCATACGCGTTGCTCTCTGGATTCTATCTTTGGCTTTCATTTCACCAGCAGTCGGATCGCCCTCCTCCTTCGTACTCTCGTTCTTTCGTTCTTTCGTTCTTTCGTCGTCATTTAGATGACGCGTGATTGTAACCACTTTCGGCCGCAGCAGGCCCATGCCTCGCCCGCCCAAAGGCCCCACAGCCTCAAGACAGTCACCATGGCACGACTTACTTTATTCAACCAATACTCCACTCGTCGTCGTGGCTGTCTGCGTTCCTGTTGGTGGTGCATGGTTTGTTGTTTGTTCTAGTGTTGGGTGTCTTTTCATCTGTTGTTTAGTTGTTTCATTCTTCTTCTGATTACTGATACTTTGCTTTGTATCGCCATGTCGCTCGTCGCTCTGTGCTGCTTCCGCTTGCCCTAGCTCTTTGTGCTTTGTGCTGTCTTCCTAACGAGTCTGCATCAGCTCGTGTGTCCTTGCTTGTCTGTTTGCTTGCTCTGCCTATCTCCTTGCACATGTGCGTGTTGCCAGTGTTGTGGGTTGCACCACCTCCGCTCAGTTGTAGTTGTGGCTCCTTACTATGCGTGCCGTTGGATGTGGGTGTGTCCATGTGGTTTTCTGATGCACTCTTCTCTTGTCCTTGTCTTGATAATTGCGATTGGTTACAGTTATATGTGCTTGCTCTTGCAAGTTCTTCCCGATGGCGTGTTTGTCTGCTGTTCTCGGCAGGCGGTTCAGAGGTTGCCCACCGTGTTGTTACAACGTCATGTTACTCCCGCGCGTGTATGAATGCATGTGCGTTTTGATACACGTGTTAAGTTGAAGAAGCGACAATACAATTGATGAAGCTTCTCCTGCAGCAACGTAATCATCAGGGGGTGCAAGGGAGAGAAGGACAAACTAGATGCATACAAGCAGAAACAAGCAAACAACAGACAGGCAAGAAAGCAAACAGCACATAGGCAAACACACACACACACACAGCTACAGACAAACGCACACGCAATAACACACATACACATACATACACACACACACACACACAGAGCCACCACAGAGTATCCTTTGACCGATTCATTCGTTTAGTTATTGCAGGGAACGAAAGGACGGACGGGCATGCGGCAAGCAAGTTAACACTTGCTTGCAAAACAACACCCCAATACACCGCTACAAGTGCAAGCAAATTACAGATGCAGAGCAAAAAGAGCAAGAAGCAACAGCCTATCTAACGAGCTAGCTGGAAACCAAAGTAAAGGCGACCCAAAATCCAAGATGATAACACACACAGGCGAACAAAAGCCGGGGGGTCGTTGAATACGCGTGTCGAGCAAAACAGATGGCACGAGCGAGGGCCGGAGCGCAGCAACGCAGCAATGCCTTCAACAAGCAAGTGCATGTCATGTGCTGTTATTGGAAAAGCAAACACAACAAGGTGGGGGATTTACGTCCCCGCAGACGCGGTGGCAGACGCGGCGTGCGGTGCTGTGGACGGTAGAGCCGTAGGCGGCGAACTTGCAGCCAACCGCCAAAAGGAGAGAGCGATGAGCAGCACCAGGAGCGCCGAGTTGATGTGCAGACACCACCGGCGCAGAGCCGCCACCCGCTCCTCGTCAAACCGCGGCGACGGGAGCAGCAGCTCAAACACGGCCTTGAGCATGTGTGCACCGTCAAGTAGCCAGCAGGGGAGGGCGTTGAGGACAGCCAGCGCCGGGGAGAGCGCAATCATGTAGCCGAGAAACGTGCGCACAGCCAACGGGAAGCGAAGGCTGGACACCCCAAGCGGCACATAGTCCGACAACAGCACAGACCTGAGAGAGAGTGTGTGTATGTGTGTATGTGTGTATGTGTGTATGTGAGTGAGTGAGAGTGTGTGAGAGAGAGTGTGTGTATGTGAGTGAGTGAGTGAGTGAGTGAGTGAGTGAGTGAGTGAGTGAGTGAGTGAGTGAGTGAGTGAGTGAGTGAGTGAGTGAGTGAGTGTGTGTGTGAGTGAGTGTGTGTGTGAGTGAGTGAGTGAGTGAGTGAGTGAGTGAGTGAGTGAGTGAGTGAGTGAGTATGTGTGTGTGTGTGTGTGTGTGTGTGTGTGTGTGAGTGAGTGAATGCGTTGATTCTGAGTCAGCAAATCAACAACAATGCAGACAAGGGTTGAAAACGGAGGCACTGCGTGCAAACTCACTGCGAGAATTCGTTCAAGGGCCCAAGAAATAGTACGGGCTCTTTTCCCGCCACGTGGAATCGAACAAAGTGCCTTTGTGATGCGAGCGAGCACATGCCCAGTGGATGAGCAAAGGGCGAGGGCTGTGATGCTGGATGTTTCAGAGTAAGCAACACACACACACACACACACACACACACACACACACACACACACACACACACACACGCACGCACACAAGCACAAAGGCACAGACAGACACAGACACAGACACAGACGGACACACAGGCACACGGACACGCACACTCCCCCTCCCTCACACACACAACGCATGGTCTCTCACATGTCGTCGACTTCGAGGGTGACGTTCCAGCAGGCAAAGCCGTCACTGCAGTGCGAATGCGCGACGCAGCGATCAACAGCAGCACTGTCTGCGGCCTGAACACGAGCAGTCACAAGACAACAGCAACAACGGTTAACGGCAGCACACGGCACACGGCGGTACAGCGCAACATCAAACCATGCGAACGAAGGTTTACAAAAGGGCGAGCTTTGACATATGTGTTGCGCAGCGAAGGGGGGGGGGCGGCGGGGTTTGCATGCTGACAGCAATGGGAGTGAATGCAACTTGCCTTTCGCGCTGGGATGCACTTGAACAAGCCCTCCGCCCGCTGCGCAAAGCACAACCTGAACCGACACAAACCCAAAGGCACCATGAGCAAGGTGGCTGCCATGATAAGAGAGGTGGCATGGCGGTCCAGTCGCTGCCATCACGTCAACGTGCGTGTCATGGGCGACCGCAAACAGCAACCACGCCCCTTTTTCTTCCTTACGCAGCTGAGACGATAAATCCTCTCCTAAAAAACCTCAACCCACTCCCCGCTTCTCTCCAGAACCCACATCCACCCCAACACACACACACACACACACACACACACACACACACACACACACGCACACACACACGCACACACACACACACACACACACTCACACACACACACACACACACACACACACACACACGCACACACACACACACACGCACACGCCATTCATGCAATGCAAGCCGCACCTTGACTGCGAGGTGTCGCCCGTGTCCTCAACACAGCAGTCCGCGTGCACCTCTGCGTGTGGATCCACACCCGGCGGTGGTTTCAGCGGCGGATATGCGTCCACGAGCGAACGGCTCAAACACATGCCCGTGCGCCCCGTCACACGCAGCGCCTACCATGCAGCGTTGGAGGGAGGAAGAGGGGAAGAGGGGAAGTGTGCGCGTGCGTGAGCACGCTTTGTGTGGTATGTTTGTGTGCGCGCGCCTTGTTATATGGGTGTGTCGAAGACTCACCTCAATGTCCCCAAAGCAGCGGTGAATGTCCTCAATCGTGTTGACCTCGCAGCCTTCATCTGCAAACACGCGGCCACCTCAGTGCAGCATTAGCAATTCTGCAGATGCATACAGAGACGCACGAGCACACACACACACACACACACACACAGACACAACACATACACACACACACACAGACGCAACACATACACACGCACACACAGACACACACACACACACACAACACATACATACACCCACCCTCCCCACGAAACGAGGCGACTGACTGATGGCGGTGATGACATCCCCAGGCTGGAGCGATGCGGCGAGCGGGGAGTGCACATCAAGCGCAGCAACAGCAACGCCGTGACCATACATATACGACGACGACAGAAGCGCTGATGGCAGTGGTTGGCGGCAGTGGTTGGCGGCATGATAGTGAGCTGAGCATGATGGGTTGAAAGAGGCCAACTGGGAAGCTTGAATGTCATGGTGGCAGGCAGGTCAATATTTCTGCATGATCACACACACACACACACAGGTACACACACACACACACACACACACACACACACACACACACACACACACACACACACACACACACACACACAGCACGGCAACGCACTTGGAAGGGCGAGGTAGACGGCAAACGCTAGAAGAGCGAGCACGATGTTGTGCCAGACGCCGGCGCAGAAGATGCGGAGCTGCTGAAATGCCTTGACGGCATTCAGCTGCGGCGAGTGCAGTTCAACAAAGGCGCCCGGGAGAACAACCTGGATGAACATGCCGCAGTTCTCGATGTACACATCGTGCAGCGCAGCGGCAATGCCGTGGCCCGCCTCGTGGAACAGGCTGTTGAGCAGCACCACCACAAAGAAGATGAGCGTGTGCTCTGCGGGTACGTTGACGCCCGGGATGAGTGGGCGCATCTCAAACTGCCGGATGCGCGGCGCGTGTGTGGAAGTCGTGCCCGCCACACCGGCGGAACTGCTGCCACTGGACTCTGTCATGGGCAGCCCAGCGCCGTGCTGATGGTGCTGGTGCTCGTGGCCCGGCAGGGATGGCGACGTGGCGGGCATGGAGAAGGAAGGAAGAAGGTCGGCAGCGGTGACCGTCAGGTTGAACAGGACCAGTAGCGGCCCCAGCGCCAGCAGCGCACAGCCAACAAACACCCCAAACGAGAACCACAGCCGCCAGGCCGTGGGCGACCACAGGGCGATGCGGTAGAAGTATTTTGCGATCCGGTTGGAGGTGAAGGTGATGCTGAGGAATGAGATGCGGATGCCGCGCTTGTCCAGCCACGCCCTGTATGCCGAGGACGTCGAGCTCTTGCTTCCGCTCGACGGCTGGGGTGCCAGGTACGACGACGCGGCGGCCACTGATGACGACGGCATCGACGATGTGGAGGTTGACAGGAAGGCGTGCACGCCG